GGTGATATTTGTAGACTATAAAATATAGTATTACAACTTTTGGCCAATTCTAGAGATCCTTTCCTAGTTTTTCCTCAGTCTTTGCTCAGGCTAATTCCCACTGATTTGGTGGTTTGCCTGGGTAAAGACTGAGCAAGGTCCCCCCCTCCACACACTTCTTAGCCCCTTGCTAGTCAAAGTAAATGGCCCTGCTTTATTTAGAAATTATACACTTGTTACACTGTGATTTTAATGCTATGCAGTGTCCTGATTCTAACTAACTGGCACGGTCTTACTTTGATAGGTGATCTACATATTTTAAAATATCTCTATTTTCCACTGGTCAGCAGTAATGCTAAACCTGAAATGATAAATTATTACAGGCTAAATTGAGTGGGTGCAGGCATGTGCTGACATGCAAAAGCAGTGTTTATGTACACCCATAGTCTCTACCCAGCTGCTGCTCCATGCAGAGGACTTTCTGCACAGATTATTCCAAAGGGGAGAGTGAGCTGTGTCAGATCTGTGAGGTGTGATGGACGACAAACATTAAAATGCACTATCCAGACCTCCTGAATGCAGAACTCGGCCTCCTCTCACCTTTGTTACAGAAGACCCCCAGACGTCAACTCTGTGGACTTCAGGGGGCCATTTAGGGATCTGGGGCAAAAATTGGGGATTGGGCCTGCTTTGAGCAGGGGGTTGGACTAGATGACCTCCTGAGGTCCCTTCCAACTCTGAGATTCTACGATTCTATGACTTCAGAGGAGCCCAGCAGTTATGTCCTGCCTAGCCACATATTTAATTACAATCAATATTAAGAGGCAGCCCTAATTTGACTTTAAGAATATCATTAATATTTCATGGTTTTGCTGTGCTAGCCTTACCCTGTGTTTCCAGGCTATGCATTGCTTTCCCCTTTTAAACAGTAAAATTCTCCAGTGCTGCATACCAAGTCAAATCAAGGCTCACAGCCCAGTGTTGAAAGTTCAACTTTAAGGCAATTCAACTACTAAGTACAGACATGGTAGGGTAGTTAGTGATATTCCCCTTCCCCTCGCCCCTTTACATTGTGATACGTAGACATGCAAAACTGGCTAAATCAAACCCTTACCCTGACTTAGTTTGTTTCCTTCAAATAATGTCCCCTTAAGATTAAAGTATTTAGTTTGTTTCCTTTTTTTCAGAGCATTCCGTACTCTATTTCACATTCTGCTTTTTCTAAAGAGTACTGTAACTCGCTAAAATCGGTAACGTGTCTAATATTCACCTAGATTGAACACTGAAAAGGTTTAGCTCTATGTTACTGTATCAGCTTATGGCTAGACGGTAGCTTTTAAGGCCTGAACTGCAATGCAGAGGGATGAAATAAGGTGGCGAGGAGTACAGAAGTGCACTGCATTAGCTGCAGTCAATGGATACATTCTGAACCACGTTTTCCAAAGCGGCCTCTAATTTTGGATGCCTTCAGGTTTGGTTGCCCAGTTTTAGACACAAAGGGCCTGATTTTCCGAGGGGCTGAGCATCTACAACCTCTGAAAAACCAAGGATATTTGTCTTGTAACTAATAACAGACAATTTCATTCTGTCATGGATCAATGAAATAGTATTAGAAACAGACGCAGAGCTTTTCCTGCAACCACAACACAGAAGGGACAAATCCATTACCATGCCTTGTGTAACGTAAAGCACAGCTTTAAGTTCAACGCAGGTACTTCCAAGAATCATTGAGTCTGCCTGGAAAACTTGTGAAAATGCCCTAATTGAAATCGATTCTCCCTATGACAGATATTTTCTCTTGGTCTCTAATTTGGGGTGTGTAATGGAACCAAATACAGAACATCTGTTGAGATCAATAGCTGTTCTGTACACAAAATGGCTACAGAAATCAGGCCTCATGTCACTACAGCCATTAATCTAAGAACAGAACATCCACACATACCGAGCCCCCTCTTTAGCTGGTGTAATAGGCCTAGCTCCATTTACTTCGATGGAGCTAGGCCAATTTACACGAGGTGAAGATCTAGCTCACAGTGAGTTTGTCACCTGAAGTCATTAACAGGACAGATCCCCAGCTGGGATAAAATGATGCCACTTCATTGATTCGAGTGGAACAAAGACAACTTGCGCCAGCTGAAGAAGTGATGGATTATGATTTCAGGAAGCAGCAGCAGGAGCAGGTCAACTCTTGAGGAAAAAAAGATCCCATATTCTTTCACATGGTTGTGAAGAATGAGAAAAGACAAAAGCCCCCTCTCTCCGCCCCCCAAAAAATCTAACACACAAGCAGAATGGTTCCTAAATAAAATGATTTTCATGAGGTACCAGCAACTCTTTGAAGTGTCAATAAATAGACACAATGATAGATGGGCAGAAACCAACATGGAACCTTTCCCCTGAAGTGCCGTGTGTAACGTGCATGTGCGAAACCCTGCGGCAGGAGCACACTGGAAAACCTGGCCGAAGCATTTCACTACCCTGCTGCAGGACCACGTGTGCTAACAATGCTAAGCTTTATCGCTACAGGACGGTCCCAGCAACACAAACAACGGTCACTTCATTGTGGCTTCTGTGGGCCAAATCCTTAAGTCCTTACTCAGGCAAAGCTTTCAGTGGGCCCAATCTTGAGGACCCTAACTTACGGGTCAGATGGTGTCTGGTTCTCATGGGGATGCCCAGTGAAGGGTAAGGTTGTAGTGATGGGCAGGGGTCCTGTAGCTCTAGCTCTACGCCCAGGCACCAGCCAGCAGTGCTGGGTTGCTGTCTGGATGGAGGATAGGAAGTTGCACCTCACGAAAGGCTGCAGAAGCAGGTGCATGGATCTGCCTGGCCATTGGCTCCAGGGAAAACATTCCTACCTGTTGGTGTTCCCCCTTGGGGATGCTAGCTCCACACTGCCCCTGGCTCTGCTAAATTGTACAGTCTACACCTTAGGTTTCACTCTGTTCTTCCTTGATCAGACACCCACAGAAGAGCAAGGAAGAGCTTTACTTGAGGAAGGACTGCACAACGCCTCAGCATATGGGCCTGAAAGCTTAGCATACATCGCTAGGAAGCCCCTTGTGGAAAACACAGAATCATGGCTGAGTCACTCATTATATAGATATAACCTGTTAGGCCACCCAGCTGACCCTCTCTCCTCACGCAGCGCAGTCCCTAGAGTCTACTGAGGATAATGCAGTACTGTGATTGCAACCTCTCAATAGCCCTGTGATGGCAAATCAGTTGTTCGGGTAAAGGGGAGGGCACGGGGCAGCTAGGCAGGTTGTCATCACAAGATAAGGCGCAACTACAGTGGTGGCCAGCATTAACTTCCTTATTAACAGGCAAGATCTAGCAGGAGTCACTGTAATACCTCACTGTCGTGTTTCATATCAGGTTCCAGTGAGATAAAGAGTAACCTTTTGATATATTTTGTAGTAACTCAGTAGTTCTTGTTGGTCATCACTCTAATACTCAGGACCAATTCCCATTGCTAACCCTTTGCAGGTGCGTATGGAGTAACACAGAGGCACACACCTTCAAAGGCTCTTAGGCTCCTAACTTCCACTGAAATCAATGGGAGTTAGGGGCATAAATACCTTTAAGCAGGGCCGCCGGGGAAGGGGGGGGGGAATGGGGCAATTTGCCCCAGGCCCTGCAGGGGCCCCCATGAGAGTTTTCGGCGGCACTTCGGCGGCAGGTCCTTCAGTGCCGCCGAACACACCCGGAGTGAAGGACCCATCGATGAAGACCCACCGCCACTTCTTCCACTCCGGGTCTTCGGCGGCAATTTGGTGGTGGTGGGGGGTCCTTCTGCTCCATGCCTTCGGCGAAGTGCTCTGAAGACCCAGAGTGGAAGGACCTCCGCCACCGAAGACCCCAGCCCCCCCTGAATCCTCTGGGCGGCCCTGCCTTTGAGGATGTGCGCCAGAGCCTGTACGGCTCCACTACATAAGGAGCGAAGGCATTAGGATCTGGTGATGAGTCACATCCGGTACACGACCCCCTGCACAGCTTGGAGCTCTGCTTTACAGCAGCTGCCATGCCCCAGCACACAGGGTAGGCTTGAGCAGGCCAGGTCTAGAGTATACATCCTGGTTCCTATGCTCCACTATTCCCTTGGTAGTGGTGACTCCAGCCAGTAGGCTGGAACATTTCCCAAGCAGTGGTTCCATTGTTGCCCCATGGCCGTATGGGAAAGTTTCTTTCCTCACTCTCTCTCAAAAAGCTGCTGTGCCCAGTTGAGATACCTGGATGGGGCTAGGGAATGGATCTGTCCGTGGTTGTGGCATTGTTTAGAACTATGCTATTAAACGTGTCATACATTTATTTAGATTAGTCCGTTTACATAAGAAACAATAGGCCATTTCCTGCCAACATCCTGAATGTGGAACTCCCATTAAATAGTGTAGATGTACTTTGCACTCCTAGTGTGCCTTACATTGGAGGGTCTCAAAACGCTTTAAAAACATCAGTGAATTGAGCCTCCACCCCCATATGAGGTAGGGAAGTATCATCCCCATTTTACAGATGGGGAAACTGAGGCACAGAGAAATTAAGTGACTTACCCAACATGACATGACTCAGTAAAAGAGCTAGGAATAAAACCCAGGAGTTCCCTACATGAAATACACTTTCTTTTGCAGCTGATGGTAGTTTTGTACCAATCTCAGTGGGAAGTTTGGCCCTATTACAAATAAATAGAACGAGCAAACTATTTTCTACAAAATAAGATTGATTGTAATCACACTGGTGGTGGTTTTATAACCTCCGATGGAGATTTTCAAAGCATGATTTGCATTAATGGAATACATGTTTCTAATTCCCTCAAGTGGCTTTGCAAATCTCAAACTGTCCCTAATTTCTGTTTTACACTGCATTTGATACACTGATACTTGTATGATAGGGGACATGAGAACTCTTTCAGCTACAAAAAGAACAAGAGTACTTGTGGCACCTTAGAGACTAAAAAATTTATTAGAGCATAAGCTTTCGTGAGCTACATCTCACTTCATTGGATGCACAGAATGGAACATATAGGAAGAAGATATATATATTAACAGCAGGAGAAAAAAACTTTTGTAGTGATAATCAAGATGGCCCATTTAGACAGTTGACAAGAAAGCGTGAGGATACTTAACATGGGGAAATAGATTCAATATGTGTAATGACCCAGCCACTCCCAGTCTCTATTCAAACCCAAGTTAATGGTATCTAGTTTGCATATGAATTCAAGCTCAGCAGTTTCTGGTTGAAGTCTGTTTTTGAAGCTTTTCTGTTGCAAAATTGCCACCCTTTGATCTTTTACTGAGTGGCCACAGAGGTTGAAGTGTTCTCCTACTGGTTTTTGCATGTTATGATTCCTGATGTCAGATTTGTGTCCATTTATTGAATCTATTTCCTTAAGTTAAGTATCCTCACATTGTCTAAATGGACCATCTTGATTATCACTACAAAAGTTTTTTTCTCCTGCTGATAATAGCTCATCTTAACTAATTAGCCTCTCACAGTTTGTATGTTAACTTCTAACTTATCTGTATGTATAGATATCTATATATCTTACTATATGTTCCATTCTATGCATCCGATGAAGTTGGCTGTAGCTCACGAAAGCTTATGCTCAGATAAATTTGTTAGTCTCTAAGGTGCCACAAGTCCTCCTGTTCTCTTTGTGGATACACATTAACATGGCTACTACTCTGAAACCTTTCAGCTACAGAAATTATGTTTAATCAGTAACACGCTTCGATCTGACCTTTTCCCTGCTGAAATTTTTGGAAGATTCTGGCTAGTCTGGAGAGAGAATTATTCACTTGCATTGGAAAACGGGCATTGATATGGAACAAATAATTTATATATGTTTCCACATCAGAACATTGCTCCTGAAACGATCCTTACTTTGTTGCTCTGTTTAAAAAAAGTAGCATGAACTGTCACATCTCACCTGGCATTGCTCTAACCCTCATTATATTGACGAACATCAGCGAGATATGTGTCACAGAAGAAATTAGCTGTACCATTTATATAGTGTAAAGTCATGCAAACCATGCTCAAAACTCTGCTGCTTAGTTTTGGTGGCATGAAAAAAACTGCATTAGTAAATTGTATGAAATGGTGCAGAATGACTATCACTAATATCACATGCATCTTATGCAGCCATCGGTGTTTTGAACTAGTAAGCATTGGGTGTGCAGTAAGTGAGCTATACAAAGTATGTTTACATTACACGGAGAAGTCAACCAGTGGAGCCCCCACAACCATTTTTAAACTGGCTTGTTTGAAGGGGTCCATACTGAATCCGAAATCCCATCCCCTGTTGAAGACAGAGGCATGGAGCCACTTGGTGTAAAAGGGTCAGTATCTGTGTCTGTTTCGCCCTCTGCTAGGTAGCGTTTCTCTCTCATCCAGGTTGATCCCCCATTTGGGCCAAAAGGGAAGTCTTCTTTGTCTTGGGAGATACTGAATCCACTCGGGGAGCGTTCAAGCTCCTCATGGTTGACGGAAAGAAGGGATAATGGGGTGTCGCTGTCTCTTGTCAAGCTCCTTTTCTGCCTTGGAGATATCCTGTCGGAATTGGGGCTCTGCAAGTCCCCTGGGGACTGGTACCTAACTCGGGAGTCTATGAATGTGAGTATAGGCAAAACTGTCGGCCTTTCTGCATATGAAGTCGAAGAAGGCATGGCCTGCAACTTGCCAGAGTTTTGCCCACCTAATGAAAAAGGGCGTGAATAATTCATTGGATCCTGTGCTAAGAAACCATATGGACCGACTTTGTGTACTGGAACCTGGTGGAAGTTATAAGGAGTTTCATGAGTGCAAGGCTCTGAGTATTTGTAGATTATGCTTTTCAATTCGGAGTATCTGTTTTCCTCTCTTTTTTCTTCTGCTGGAGAGGCAGCTTCTTTCAAAGGACACAACTCAGTGACTTGTACTTGCAGCTGCTCCATATGTTGCAAGTGCATATCGACTAGAAAATCCAGTTTCTTCCCCATGTCGTGAACCTGAAAAATAGCAGTTGTGAGATTTCAAATGGTTCATGGCTGGTCATTCAATGCAACAAACACCAGTTGTTTCCACTGGCACACTTTCCTCAGCAATGATATGTTACCACTGTCACCAAGGCAGCTACAGGAGAATGCTGTACTTTTCTCATTGGAGCCTGTGAGTGCCAAGTGTGTTTTAGCTGCCTGATCCATTGACCTGAACTTTTATATCCGACTCTATGAATTCTGAGAAAACAAACTTCTTTCTTTTTTTCAGGGCTCAGTCCGTAGTTTAAGCCCAGAAGATATAAATAGTGATCAAAAGTTGTTGCCATGGTCTGAGTTCTGTTCCCAATGGGCAAGTGTCCATATCACTAAGACCCACATCATGATCAGTAGCTTTTATTGTCAACCACAATAGAAAGGCCAAGGACTGAACTGCCCTGGATACTGAACCCCTAGTTGTTGCTTCTGAGCGAGGGTTAAAGCTCAGCTTGACTTCCTTTTCCTGTGGGAACAATTTGTGCCTGCATTTTTACATCCACAAAATAAACCGCTGATGAAAATCCAAGCCACTGCACGTCCACATTTTTTGCACACACAGTCATATATTTAGAAGTACAAGTGCCTTGACCTGCATGGACAATTCAACTGCAGGCACAAAAAGGCACCTCTCAAGTAGAGGCTATCCTTCTGAATACCCTATCAGCATCAGCAAAAGGAGTATGAAGTACAGACAAATATTCAGGGATAGCCCCAAAATCTAAGCACCAGATCTGAACAATGATGAATTTTGAGGAGGTAGGAAATCTGGATTGAAACTTCATGGCATGGGGCCATCCCACCAACCAAAATGAAGATGCACCAACTGCTTTGTAAAAACATGCACTATTCAGGTTTCAGAGTAACAGCCGTGTTAGTCTGTATTCGCAAAAAGAAAAGGAGTACTTGTGGCACCTTAGAGACTAACCAATTTATTTGAGCATGAGCTTTCGTGAGCTACAGCTCACTTCATCAGATGCATACCGTGGAAACTGCAGCAGACTTTATATATACACAGAGAATATGAAACAATACCTCCTCCCACCCCACTGTCCTGGGCTAGCACCAGCAGGAGAATGAATTTGTGGGGGGGGGTGGAGGGTGAGAAAACCTGGATTTGTGCTGGAAATGGCCCACCTGATGATCACTTTAGATAAGCTATTACCAGCAGGACAGTGGGGTGGGAGGAGGTATTGTTTCATATTCTCTGTGTATATATAAAGTCTGCTGCAGTTTCCACGGTATGCATCTGATGAAGTGAGCTGTAGCTCACGAAAGCTCATGCTCAAATAAATTAGTTAGTCTCTAAGGTGCCACAAGTACTCCTTTTTCTTTATGCACTATTCAGTTAACTAGCAGCTCATGGAAAACTAACATAAACGTCTCTTTCTTTTAGTCCTGAAACTACATACCTGTCTTTCAACTTTAACAAATTTGCCCATCATACTTTGGTCTTCAGTATCTGCTGTGGATGCTTTGGCTACATATTGTTCATTTCTAAAAGGAACCAACAGTCTTGTTAGCACTTCATGTTCCATTTTGTTACAGTAAGTTATTTGCATAAGATAACAGAAGTAAAGGCTTATTCATTATTATTATTATTTTAGCACCTAGGAACCCGAGTCATAGACCAGGACCCCATTGTGCCAGGCACTATACGAACACAGAACAAAAAGATGGCCATTTCCCCAAAAAGCTTACAAGCCAAGTATATATAAAAACCCAGATCTGACTAGCTACCACGTCACCACAGTTGTACATTGGTTTAGTGGGAATCAAAATCAACAGAGCTACACTGAAGTAAAACTGGATTAGCCTAGTAGTGAATCAGGTTCACCATCCAATGTTCTTATACAACACCTTCAACCCATTACAGAACATCACGTCTTTTTTCTGCCATCCCTATTTCTGAGCAGTTAAATTAAGAGAAGGATATTTGTCCAGCATGTAATTTGTCAACCAAAAATCCACTATCTTATGATAACGTGCTCATTCCAACTGAGAGCATTTCACATTCAACATCTGTTAACATGGTAGCATGTTGGTTAGGTGACTGAAGTAACTGCAAAAATTTTAGGACATGAATGGCCACTTTATTTCTATTATAGCCTGCACAAAATGTTAAGCAGAATAACTTCACCTGGGAGATTGTTGTGAAGGGTAAGAAAAAGCTCCTCCCTTCTGGGATTTCTTATGCTTGGGAGTAGATGGAGGTCCAGGGGTAAAAATCATATCTACTCTGAAAGAAGAAAAGAACAAGATATGATAAACGTGCACAAGGTCTTCTTTAAATACCTGCAGGAAATGAAAACTGCTCAGTATCCCTCCAGCAATCTATATCTCAACAGTACAATGAGGGAGTGAGTTTAGTGTTAGGGCAATAGACTGGGATTCCCAGCTCAGCCACCGACTCATTGTGTGGCCACAGGTAAGTCACTTAGGCCACAATTTTCAATCTTAGGCATTTAAAAATAGCACCAAAATCCATATTTATGTACCTAAATTAGTGGCTTGATTTACAGAAATACTCAAAAACAGCTGCTGATCCCAGTGATTTCAGTGGAGACACTCTAGATTTAATCCAACAGAATTTGGCTCAATATTTGCAATCCTCTACAACCATTTCAATAATCTAATAAATTTCTGGCAGTTTTCATATTTAGTTATCATCATAGTTTTCATTATGATGAATTATTTTAGTGGTTTGAAACAAAAAAATAGACACTTCAGGCTGCACAAAGAATCCCACCTGCAAAACATTCGCTTGCATTTGGAACCAAACTGGATGGAACATTTTGGAGCCTCTCACATGTTCCACTAACTTCTTTTAAAATTATTTCCCCATGTTTAAACACTTCTAATCTAGAAGTGTTAAAACATAGCATGAAAAGCCATCTTGGTACTTCCAACATGACCAGAAGTGAAAGACCTGGAAAGCTAAGAAAACCACTTGCTTTTCTGAAATTTCCATTCAAATTATGCAGAATCCAAAGGTTCAGGTAAGTATGGGTAAGAATCTAGGCTGAGATTTACAAAGGAGCAGAAAGGAGCTAGCTACCCAATTTCCATATTGACATCTAATGAGATTTAGGCTCCTAAATGACTAAGTTACCTTTGAAAATGGGACTTAGGCAACTAAGTCCCTTGCTCTAATTCAATCACAAGCTACAGGCTAGATGCAAGAATTACTTGGTGAAAGTCCATGCCCTGTGTTATGTAGGAGGTCAGACTACATGATCACAGTGGTTTCTTCTGGCCTTAAAATCTATGTATTAGAAGTTACTTTAATTAAGGAGAATAGCCACTGTCATATAACGTTAATAAAAGTGAAGTGGAACAGAAGACACTAAATATGCAGAACACATAGAACAAACTATATTGAAAAATAAATTAATACAAACTACGAAGTAGAAAGAAAAAGAACAGTGTAGCTTGTTTTTAAAAGGTGAAAGATAAGTTCCCCCAGGTCCAACCAAACAACAGAGTTGAATTGAATTTGCTTAGCTCAAGAGAAATCAAACAACACTACAATAAACCCTCTTGGATGGCTCAACTGTTTGTTTCTATCTGAAGATCTGTAACAGCTCCAGGCCTGATTCTTCATTACCTTGCACCTTTTGTGGTCTTTTATTTTACACCCGTGCAAAGTGAATCTAAATCGCTACGTTCTCATTTGGCAGCAATCACTTTTGTCTAAATGATCACACAAGGTGCAGGTCAATAGAGAATCAGGCCCAGGAATGGTTGCCATATAATACAACTACTACTTTACTTTTATATGTTGTCTGTACAGATGAGATAGGTGACTTGCCCAGGGTCACACAGAGAATCAGTTGCAAAGCTGAGAGTCATTTCCAGGGCTTATGACTCCCAGGTGCTTGCTTTAACTACTAAACAATGTTCCTTTCATATGTGGTTATCATAACTACTTGTTTATCTTTCCCTCTTAGAGGAGACACTCCCAAACTATTTTCAAGGGGTGAGTTGATAAACTGGCTATTGTTGTGTGCTGGATAGTTTAAAGCTTCTCTGACTGATGCTGGAAGGAACCACCTTTGTTCCTGTGTCATTAGCAGCATGTCGAGTTAGGGTGAGCTGTCTAGCACATACACAGAACAACTGCACTTCCCCATCACACGCTCTACATTTATCACATTCTTGCAGCGATCTTACCTTGCCTGAAGGTATTTTATTCTGGAAAGCATATCAAGGTGCCCTGCTGAATATTGCTCTATCACATCCTTTACATCATAAGGCCTCAAAGTCTCCTTGAATTTTTTTTTATAGAGACGAAACTGTAGAATTCTGCATAGTAAATCGAACAATTATTAGCCCCCTACATAAACAGCACAATGGTCAATTATAGGTGAAGCTCTAGTCAGGCAACATTCTTTGCATGATAAAGAATTGAACATGTGATATTACGTCAACCCGAGACAATAAGTCACATGCAGGGAATATCTAATAATAAATCATTGTTAAGAACAGATTTCATATTTTGCTATTCATCATTAGCAGGCTAGACTTTCCTAGAAATACATATGGGCACAGTAGATCTTCCCAATATCATTCTAATTAGGCAAGGCCCCAGGCCATAAAAGTCAGAGCTGGATCTGGATTTTGTACAACAAAGTATAGGAGTGTTTGTTTCGGGAGTTTTGGTTCAACTTACTATACAGGAGGAGAGATTAAAAAGACTGGAACTTTACAGCTTGGAAAAGAGACGATCAAGAAGAGATATGATAAAGGGTCTATAAAACTGTGATTGGTGTAGAGAAAGGAAATAAGGAAGTTGTATAACACAAGAACTAGGGGTCACCCAATAAAATTAATAGGCAGCAGGTTTAAAACAAACAAAAGGAAATACTTCTTCACACAACCTACAGTCAATCTGTGGAACTCATTGCCAGGGAATGTTGTGAAAGCCAAAACTGTAATGGGGTTCAAAAAAGAACTAGATAAGTTCCTGGAGGATAGGTCCATCAATGACTATTAGCCCAGATGAACAGGGATGCAACTCCACGCTCTGATCGCTAAAAGCTGGGAGTGGTTGACAGAGGATGGATCACTCAATGATTGTTCTGTTCATTCCCTCTGAAGCACCTGGCATTGGCCACTGTCGGAAGACAGGATACTGGGCTAGATGAACCATTGGTCTGATTCAGTATGACCGTTCTTATGCTCTTAAAGATAATTTGTAAAATGTATAGCAGGCTGAACCATTTTGAACCTGATCTGCGTTTCAATTTCAAATATTAACTGATCATAAGCCAAAGCATCCTTTAAGAGCTTTTTAATGAATTACTTCCAGTTAGCATTCCATGTCTGTGTAAACTATATATATATATTAGGTTCATATCCCATTGAGCTTACATAGAAAGTGAATTAATCAACTGGGGTTGCACAGAGCTGGAGAGAGATGCTAATTTATTCCTGTGTGTAAATATCATGCAGACAACTCAGTCTTAAGGTTACTGGTCTAATGTGGTAAAATGAAAAAAATCCATGTAAAATAAATGAATAAACATATCTTTCAAATGATGCTGCAGTAACATATATTAGCTAGCTTTAAACCAGTCCTTGATCTTGTGTCCATAAATTTAAAGTGTATATAAGGGCAAAATACATTAATATTCTGAGAGGTACAATATTGGAGTTTGTGAAAGAAAGATCATCTATATGGCATTTTCCCTTCTTATTTGTTGCTTCCATTAGTTTATATGAGCTTTACTTTAGAGGAGAAAAATAATGAACCACCCAGTCTCTAAACTATAAACCAGCGTGGGTTAATTTAGAGGTGTTAGAGACCATATATTAGCAGGCAAGCCTCCAGTAGGGCAGTAGTAGAATTTGATCCCTGAAGTGCCATTTCCTATTGTAATTCAGAGATACGTCTGCATTGTCTCTAAGGGTATGACTACACTGCAGCTGGAGCAAGCCTCCCCGCCTAGGTGGACAGACATGAACCAGCTGGGCTCATGCTGGTATGTGAAAAACAGCGGTGTGGATGTTGCAGCATCAGTTCAGTCTTGGGCTTGCCACCCAAACTCGGACCCAGGGAGTACAATGCTCTGAGGTTGGGTGGCTAGCCTGAGCCTCTGCCAGAGTGGCAATGTCCACACTACTATTGTTAACACGCGAGCGCGGGCCCCACCAACACAAGTCTCTGGGATGGACTATCAATTATTCTGCTTACTGCAGTTAGCCATTTAGTAGGCCTTTGCAGGAACTTAGCATAACTAAGGCAAAGCTGGGAGGGAGGAGGCAACGACCACATGGAGTGAGCCTGACTCTGTGTCATCTCTGAGATGCTGGGGTAAGTGTCTGTGAAAAACAGGAAGTCTATCTATATTTGATTTTTGGTGTGTGTGTGTGTCGGAGACCATAAGACTGCAGATTCTGCAAAGACAAATCTATATAACTAACGACTTAAAAAACGCTTTCTTAAAGGTTTTTCTTTGATTAACACATTGATGTAATTGTAGTAGTTACTAACATAAAAGGGGTAGACACATCCGAGGAATTTGGATTTGACCTTCTGGACATCTCTTGGAATCCCCAGTGACAGGCGTATAGCTGGCCACTTGAATCTTGTAATTTGACCACTTGAGACCTCTCCAGACTACGGGTAACTATTGTTTGGGGTGCTCTATAACCTATTGTGTTTGTGTGCTTGAGACTAAATAAAGCAGAGACTCTGAGTAAAGGCATTCTGGCGAGAGTGCTGGAGACTCATAAAGTGAAGGCTTTAAGTGAAATCACTTGATTTTGTGTGATTTGTGCCAACCACATAACAGAGAGAGGTGCATCTCCCTTGGTTTATTTCCTGGTACTGCCTCACAGAGAGTAATGTTACTGAGAACTTTGGGTTTAAGGAACCCCGGGTAACAGACACACCCCAAGGATACATCTATGCTGCAAAAAAAAAAAAGCTTTGTTTTTAACTCAGGTTAGCTAACTTGGGTTAAAATAGCAGTGAAGACACAGCAACCTAGGTTAGCAGCTTGAGTCAAAGCTGATAGGGAAATCTGGGGTTTAACTCGAGCTGCTAACCTGAGTTAAAAACTGAGTCACCGTGTCTTCAGTGCTATTTGAATACAGTCAGTTAACGTGGATGGATTCCTTTTTTTGCACCGCAGATATACCCTAAGTCAAAATTTTAGATGGGACACCGCATGCACATGTACTCATTGACTGGGTGCACTCATTATTTAAGGACACTTCTGAACAAGGCCCTTAGGCTTCTGCTACAGCTGCCAGCATATTCAAAGAATGGTGGACACCCTCTTTGAATTGTCCCTACGTTGGATGTGCTCAACAGAGTCTGAGGCACTCTAGCACCTACTCTTGCATGGCTCTTTCACCTGGAAGACAGTCAGGTTATGGTGAAGAATTAACAGCTATCAATAGTGAGTACAACTGCAAGGAAAGTCGATTTTTCTGTGGCTTTAGTGTTATTTTCTGAGTGGGGGAACAGCAAGCTGCTACTGAGCTGGTTTCCTATCCTAGATGTGTGGTGTGCATTACTGAACCTTGGAATTGACCTCTATTGCCAGCATTCACACTCTGAAGCATGTTTCTTGTGATACCAAGCAAGATGCGTCACACATCTTCAGTTACAGTCTGGGCCCTGGGTCTATTAGAATGTAAAAACTGTAATGGGGAACGGAGGTGACATTTGGGTCAGCTGGAGGCCACAGGATTGTGTGTCCATTCCTACCCAGGAAATGAGGGGCTTTCTGTGTTGAAAAATATCCACAAGATTTCACATAAATATTTCTTGTAATTTTCAGTAGAAAATCTTAACAGAAGGTTGTTTTCAAATTTAATTAAGAAAGCTTTGCTGGAAGAATGAAGATATTAAAATATCATATGCCAGATATATCCAAATGTCTAATTATGTTCTATAATCAGCAAAAATATTAGGATAAATCATAAATAGTACAGATTGAAAAGACCTATTAGGTGTTCTAGGCCATTTGCACAGCATTGAAGGTTTGTTTCCTATAGTACATAGGGAATGGTTTTGTCCTGTCTCATTTAATTTGGAACAATTTACCAAGGATTCTCCATCACTCAGAATTTTTAAATCAAGTTTGGATGGTTTTCTAAAAGATCTGCTCTAGGGATTATTTTGGGGAAGTTCTATGGCCTGTGTTATACAGGGGGTCAGACTAGATGATCACAATGGTCCCTTCTGACCTTAGAACCTATGAAAAATGTCCCAAATAACGAGGCTTCCACCAATTTCCTAAAGAAATTATTTCCCAAGCTAATAGATCTAATTGCCAGGAAGTTTATCCTGCTATTCTGCTTACATTTTCCCTTTCTTAATATCATCTTTCTCATCCTCATTATATCCCTTAGTACCAACCTAAATAATTCCACTGTTACTGGTGTTTAAATGCTTTAAATGTTTGTTGATTCATTGTGTACTTCACTAATCATTGCTTTACCAAGCTGCAAATATTGAGATTTTTTTAATAGCTACTCAAAAATCCACACACACCCCAAACCATTTCGTTGTTATTTCCTATTATCCCTGGAACTGGTCAAAATTCAGAATTTTTGTTCCATGGAAAATTCTGACATTTCAAAATTTCCTTTCGTCTTGAATCAGAATGAAAAGTCAATTCCCCACAAAAATGAAAATTCCAACCTTATTGAAGCACTTAATTTCAGTAAGGTCAAAGCACTTTATCATTTTGACATTTTATATTATAAATTATGCAATAATAATATAAAAGTCAAAGTAATAAATTCAAAACAAAGTGTTTTGACATTACTGAAGCGAAACATTGATAATTTTTTGTTCAATTTTTTTGTGAAATCAATGAGTTTTCCTACAGAAAACTACTCCATCTGATAATTTTTGACGGACTCTAGTTATCTCCCTTCCAAGTGCCTACTATGATCTAACTGCCTACTCCATTTAAAGACCCAACAACAATGAACAACCTGGTGACATGATGCAGTGATTTCCGGTAGGCCAAGCATTAAAGGTCAAAACCAATACTGATGAGCATAAAGGAAATTTACCGGACAGCTCGGATGGCTGCCTTCAATGTGGGGATCATATCTTCCATAAGGAACTCATTACTGTAACCTCTGTCTTCAGTCATGGGATCCCCTGTTCCTGCATCTGTAAAGAAGGTCAAACACATGCATGTAAAAATCAGACCACAATTTACAACATTGTTTAAAACAATATTAAACCAAGTCAGTAATATAAACTAATTTCAGTCAATAATCACACATGAGAAGTTCCTTTGGTTACTTTGGCCAGCACTTATTCTCTAAATAGGGTGATGTCCCCCTGCATTCTTCTACACCAGGCCAAGAGAATGCAAAGACATTTTGTGGTTTCAGAAAGTCTCCCAAAATTCTAGCCATTTCATGAACCATCTAGAGCTTTCCTTCTTGTCAACTGGATTTAGGACCTCCCATTTTCGAGGAGTTTTAAAGAATAAAACATTGCCAAAATAGTCTATTTAGAGTGAAATGAAGATAAAGATCTTTTGAGCTTGATTCTATTCTCACTTGAACTGGTTTTACCCCAGTGTTACTTCACTGACTTCACCTGTGTGAGTGAATGATAATCGGGCCGTGTGTGAGAACTCACAGCCATTTATAATCCAGTGGAGCTACTGTAGGTGGTGAGATTATGAAGAGGAGAATCAGTAATTCAGACTTCAATGGGCCATCCACAAAAAAAAGAAAAAAAAAAAGAGGAAATGTGATCTGGAGACGTTGAAAAGAAACATGCCATGTGATCTATGACTGCCATTGGCAAGGGCCATTTTATGGAAGGTTGTGGCTGAAAGCCTGCCCTCAGGTGGTGACCTATTGCCTTTCTGAAGAACTTGTTCCTTTCTTCAGACTGGATTTTCCGCATGTCAGACCAATGCGGATATAGGATCGTTCAGGCATTCCCTGTGCACCCAAAATTTCAGTGACTTCAGCAGGAGTCTGAGGTGCAGAAGGATCAGGCCCACAGTGGAACCTTTTTATAGTAAAGGTATTTTTTCACAGAAATTCAGTAAGGTACAAATCTCTACCTCCCACATGTTCCTGTGGCTACAGAGGCTCTCTGGGCAGTGCAACTGCTGTGGTTCCCCTGCACAAAGTGGGACAGGATTTACGGGGGATGTATAAGTGAGGTGAGCCCCCTGCTTGGTGCAGATCCCCACTGTGCAGAGAGATGTTCTGCAGAGAAGAGGACAGGTGTGCATGTGTGGCCTGGGACAAGACAAAAGGTTCTGCTATATGGTGCTCCCTCCTTCGGGGGTTCACACTAGGGCAGAGGAGCATGATTTCTGCTCTGCTGCCTTGAGGTGCTGTGATGATTCCTTCCTCCCTTCCCATGTACACGTCTAGCATTTGGCACAGCTACAAGGGCACAGCTCTGGGCTGAGACCGTGATCCTAAAACCAGAGGTTCCTTATAACTGAAATTATAATTTGCAAATTGCACTTGATAAACTGAGACCATTTGGGATTTTCATTTTACATCACTACAAACTGAGGGCCAAATTCAGCAGCAACGTGGGAGGAGCCCAGGGACTAATTTAGACTCTGTTACACTGAGAATGCTTCAATGGCAATTAGGCTGCCTTGGACCTACTACACCCTACTCTACCAATGTACGAGAGTCTGAGATGCTGTTACTAGCATCCGAAGCAGCTGAAAGAAGGTGTAAAGTAAAGCATAGTAGGGTCAGGCCTACTTTAACTCACACAGTCTTACACCTTCCGTGAGTTGTTTTTTTTGCTACACTTCTCTCTCAGGCAGGGGATAAGACTCAATGGGCCAAATTCACAGATGATGTGTAAGGAGCTGAGTGTCAAAGTTACACATTGGCCAGTTCAGAGAAGGCCGAGGGAGTATATGTGAGCAAGGTTACAGTGAGTTTAAGTTACTGCAACAAAAACACTGAGGGAATCTTGAAAAGAGCGTAGATTATACTAGCCTAGAATGTCACTAGACTTTCCTAGATACATGTAATCACTGCCCCTGAGTTCCCATATTTCCACGCTGACTATAAGTGGGTTCCACTGAAAGCGTATCAATACAGAACATGGTTGGTTTTGAGGAATACATACACTTTATTTTGAGCATTGCTTTGCTTGGATTGCAGCATTATTTTCCAAATCTTCCCCCAATGTTCCATAAATTGTCCACGCAAAGGCAAGGAGTAACTGTGTCTGCCCCAGATTATTTTAATCGCATTGATTTGCTATTTTGAAGGTCATGAAGTCTCAAAAAGAGATGGATTAAAAAAAAAAAAAGCCATGGTAACAGGGTGAAGGAATCTGGGAGGGTTAAAAATGAATTAATAGAGACGTGCTACCTTCTGAGCTTTGCCAAAAGGCATACGCTTTCATTCGGAATGCAGTGCGAAAACGCTCCTTATTATTCAAGCCAACATTCTTAGGCTCTTTAGAAGGACTTTCTTCAATGGCATCTACATTCAGAGGGGTAAATAGCTTTCCTTTAGTATTGGTACCACGAACCCGATCCAAGAGACCCAGCTTTTGGCTACAAAATAAGCAAAAGTGATCAATTTCCCTCCGTTAATGCAGACCAGTACACTTTAACTTGCTTTCATGATGCTGTTCATATATCAGATCCCAAATAAATGTTTCACATACAAGGAGGACACTGCTGGAGCTATGGTAATTCATCAGTGTCTAACCACAACTGAGAATTCACTGTTGCGGGAGGGAGCAGCACTATAATACCCATGCAGCCAATGTTACTATCCTCTCTACCTAGTCTGCCATACTGCTTCTGCTCCATTTACCTGGCTGAAGTGCCAGCTTTATCATTAAGAAGACAAACACCAATATTTAGCCAGTATCAATATCTGATGATAGGGAGAATTGGCCTTTTCAGCTCAATGCCCTCTTTAAGTGCTGGTAGGGTGACCAGATGTCCCGATTTTATAGGGACAGTCCCAATATTTGGGGATTTTTCCTATATAGGTTCCTATTACCCCCACCCACTGTCCCGATTTTTCACACTTGCTATCTGGTCACCCTAACTGCTGTGTGCCTGTTAGGCTATTAAATGAGCTGCCCGTGCATAGTGATGATGAATGAGAGAAGTGCTGGACTCAGAATAAATTATTTTCAAAACAGCACAGACCACAAAGACATTCCTAAGCAATTGCTCCGTACATGGCACTGCAGGACACCCAGTTCTCACCCATTTAATTCCAGTCAATATTCATGGTAGGGGAAATGAGGAGGGTGTCTTCTGACTGATAAGAATTTAAAACATTCTGATGCCTTTCAGCCTTCTAGCAATTCATTTTGTTGCCCTATTAGAATATTAATGCCACGAGAAAGTGTGTTCTTCAGGGGACACTCTGCAGTTGGACCCACACTGGCCACTCCATGCTAACCTTTGGACTGGCACCTGTGAGCTTTCTGCAGGCTGAATTACTGGCACTCCTCAGGGATTCTCCTGAAAGGATTAAAGTATGGTGGACAAGGTGTGGCTTGTGGGACAAATGCAGATCCATGAGAAACTGGACTACTCTCATCTTTACAAGGAGGTGTGGCCATTCAGACCATAGGAATGTAGGATATAGGACGGGAAAGGGCCTCACCAAGTCCAGTCCCCTGCTATCCCAGGTCATACAATCAGGCTACAATCAGGTCATACAATCAGCACACATTGTTCCACCTTGATCTGGGCATTATAGCTAATGGCAATTGCAAAATATGTCACTTTATCCACATTATTGTGGCCCTCAACTATCTATCTTATCTAAAGCTAATCGACTGATGGAATTGCTAAGGTGCCTATCACAATGAGTTATGTCCTAGAGAAATTGATATTATTTAAGATAAATCTTTGGATGGTGATGAGTTTTAGAAGGATTATTGTTTTTTTTTAAAACAGTATTGTCAATGTGAACACCATATCTGTAGCCCAGTGAGATCAGTACCTTGTATTTTTATATGTAAAACAACAATGAAATGCATTATATAAAACTCCCCACAAAACATGGACACATCTTATAATTTCAGAGCAGAGATTAATGGCTACATAATTTTTTCCCCTAGCAGTATAGACTTTTCCCATTGCTTCCTGAAATGTGTATAGTGTGTAGTTACAGTCACACTGGTGATGACTGCCTGTATTTCTTTGCAGAAGCTAAAAGCAATGCTGCAGATAGCAGAAGAAGTCCCTTGTCCGCATCCCGTTATTGGCACTGGCTGGGTACACCCTGCATTCCCGAGCACTCAGAACAACCAGGGAATGACTCGGTGGTCCGCTCCCGCTTACACCCGGTGTTTGTGTTCCATAACTCGGTTTGTGGCAAGGGGGTCCTGCACCCCCAAGGGTTTTGGGGGGGACGAAAGGAGAGGCGGGGGTTTGGGGCCGGGGGGCGGGCGACAATCGGAGAGTGCCTTTGAAGGGGAGAGGTTTGACGATGCGGAGCAAAGGGAGTTTGGACTTTTGAAAGAGGGGAGCGAGTCGGGGGGGCGTTTGCGGTTTAGCGTTGGAGGGCAGGGGGGTTCGGGGGGAGTACAGCTGCCAGGGGTGAAGGTCGGAAAGGGTGCTGAAATGTTCAGAGCATCATATGTGCATCAGATCTCCAGTGGAAGTGAGCTTCTCACTCACCTTATTAATAATGATGAGCAAATTGCAAAAGCTAAAGAGGTTCACTTTGGGTGAACAGCCTAAGGTTCAAAGCTGTATGCAAAGCAAGTGCTCTAGTAAGTGAGATGCAAATTTAGGGCCCAAAGTTAGGCAAGTGGCCTCATTTCAAATAATGCTGAGCCCCTCCAGGTCCCACGAACTGTGGGTGCTCAGCACCTCTAAAAATCAGGCCTCTAGATGCCTAGAGGTTGATTTAGTTGCACCCCTTTAGGCACTCAAGTTTGCACATTTTGGCCTGAGGTTACTAGTAAGGATGAGCCCAAGCAATGAAGTTTAGGCCAAGGCTTCCTCAAAGTTCACTTTGATTTGGGCCCATCTACATTTTCCAAAAATCACCAGTTTTGGTTGAGTGAAGACTGTGAGAAATTGTCATGGGAAGCATAAACTTCCTGGCAAAGGTGCCAAGTGCTGAAGAAGGCAGCAAGTGGCAGAGATTGTGTCGTTGGGGGCCTCAAGGGGGCCGGGAGCCCGGAGAGTGGAGGGAGGGAAGTGTGTTGGAACTGGGCATGAACTACATGTTGGTTATGTATAGCCTCCATGTCCATCTCAACTCCTCAGGCCTGTCTAGATACATGATGGGCTCCCTGCCTTACAATTCAAATGGCATACAGTGTTAATTGGGAATTCCTCTTAATGCAGACAAAAGGATTCTACTGTATTATTTCTGGTTTGCAGATGGAGAAGTAACTTGCTCAAGGCCACAGAAGGAGTCAAAAGTTGGATCTGGAACTTTTGAGTTCCCAGAATTGTGCTCATTGGACTAAATACCAGCTTCCTTAAGACAGTAGGTAGAAGCATTAGCCAGACCAATGCTGTGAGAGTGTGACCACAAGGACATGGAAGTGTATTGGGACAGAGCTACAGTACAAAGAAACTCGAAAGCTTATCTCAGGATTTATTCTAAATTTGGAGCTAGGAATCCCTGCACGGGTTTTCTCAAAACAGGATTCCTTGCTTTTCCACACCTCCCTTCTGGAATGTAGGTCAAAATATTCCTCTCCATTCAAAATGACAGATCCCTTATTTGCAGCAAAGATCTCAACTGCATATGTCCACAGGATGTTCTCTCTATTTTATTTATGCTAAATAATCTAATCCTATATCGTTCCCAGATTCTCCTTATAGGGCAAAATTCTACCCTTTGAATCCATGAGCAGAATAATGCCCCTGCACTTTTATTTTTTTAAGTCCTTTATTTTCATTCTCCAATATTTTAGGTTGAAATCTGATGGCGAACTCTCAAGCTCACAGCAACACTTGCTACAACATTAAACAATTACACAGGGGACACTAACTTGCATGTCTGAACTAGGGCAGCTACACAAGTATTCAGGATCAGGATAGTTTCATTAAAAATGTCCTCAGTTTACAGTGCATTGTATACTAAAACTCTCCAGATCTCTTTCCAGATAAAGAATGAATTGTCATCAGACAAAGAGTGGGCTTTATTCTCATTTCCAGCAGATGGAATTTGGATCTATTAAAACAAAGGCCTGGAAACATTTTATCTTATTTCATGATCTCCTTCATGAACACAGCACGCGCGTGACTCAATATCAAAGTATTAAAGCATGCAGCGATCACATCACTCTTCATAAGCATGACTAGAGCAGTAGTTCCCACATACTCCTACAGGTATGGCTACTGGTAGAGCTCAGGCTTCTGGCATTGCTTTGGAGTGGGTTTTGTCCCTTTGGTATGTGGTTCCATGGCAAATTCCTCCCTTACACAAAATTCTGATTCTGGGGTGGAACTTTTAACAACTTTCATTGCAAATCCTAAACATGAAGTGGTTACAGAATGAGGACCTTCAGAAAACCTCAAAATATCGCTCCACTAATTGGACCAAGCTACTGAATCTGAAGCTCCAAACTTCTGTTCCTCTGCAACAACACAGTCCCAAGTTAGATGCACCTATGCTCCATCGTGGATCATATGAAACTGCTGAATGGGAGGCAAGCTGATGTGTAGCACAGAGGCTCAGCATAAAGGCCAGATGCTCAGTTCATTGATACAGAAAAATTCTGCCCTCAGATTCTCACTTGCAGTTTCCACTGACGTCAGTGTGAATTCTGCTGGAGTTTCTGAGAGCGGAATGTGGTTGCTGGGTGTATAAGGAAGGGTTAGGGCTTGGAAGGGTTGGCTGCTGCAGTTGAGGTTTTACATTCACCCTAGAAGGGTGCGAATCATTAAACTAGAAGATTAGCTCCAGAAACTATCATGCAAGACAATAATGCAGTTTCATCCCATCATGCAAGTCAGACACTCTCCTCTATGGGACGGTTTTGTTTTGTTTTGTGGGTTTTTTTGCACCTAATACTGGAGTTTCATAAACTGACAATATTTGTGCAAGAATGAACAAAAACCCAAAGTGATAATCCTTACAGTGGATCAAATATAACCCCCACCTACATTTGTAATTTTAATCCCCAAAAATAAAACACAATACAATAAAATAAAGTAAAAAGATCCAGTCAGGAACTCTTCTAATGCATTTTTTAACAGTGAAGGGCTAAAATCCATATGCTGTTTATGGTTACAATCTGATATGTGTCAGCTCTTTTTACAGGCCCAAAAATCCAGAGTTTGGTCAAGAAGATAGATGCCTAGCAAATAGTGAACAATATTAGCTAAGAAGCAGAACAAACAAAGGACAACCTTGCTTTTTGCTAAGATAAGCTTGGTCAGCAAGAAGCCAGGTGGAAATTATAATTGGGGGCTTTATCTCAAAGTTGCAAACAGACCAAAGGAATGAAAGGTGCCCTGTTTCTTCTGTAGAAGAGGTGCCTTCCTACACTAGCCTTGAGTTTATGGAAGAAGTTCAAACATGTCAGTATGAGATATGATATCCTCCCTCTCACAGA